AGAGAAACAGTAACGCCAAGGACATTGAGACATCCTGTCACTGAGTGGCTTCTAGAAAAAGAAAGCATGATTGGAGGTTGAACAGCCTAATCTCCTTTTCCATGAAAAGTTTGACCATTTGACGTGGCGTGCCAGTGGTGGTAGTTTGTTTTTGTGGGCTTTTTTTAATTAGATTCTCTCATTGTCCCTGTACCTTATATTACATTCAGCAGAGAGAGGTAGTTTAAACATGTTAGTCTGAAATCAGGCAGAAGACATGATAGAAGTGTGCTGTATAGATTAACTGAATGGCAGATGCATAAGCTTCCATGAGCCACAGTTCACTTCATTTGAAAATATTCTGTAGTTTTAATTCTAGTTACTGTAAATCGGTTCGCTAGGCAGCATATTAATCTATATGTAGGAATAAGGAAAGACATAAAAGCAAGCTTCCTGCGTTCCACAGAATTAGTATTTACATATTATTCATGTGAACTCTGAAAGTATTTTCAGATACAGCTTGGGATACATTAAGAATAGTCCTAACTTGTTCTATATGTGGCTCAATGACATGTGCTTTTTTGCTTACCCCTGAATCTTTGCCATCAATATTTTGGCAGAAGTGAAGCAGAGTCCTAAAATAGATGATGTCTTCTCTTTCCTCCGTTTTGCATGCTGAACTTTTCTGTGGCAGTTGCTAAATCTATAAACTTCTTCATCAGTGGAATTAAATTTAAAAAATGTTAGCTACCATACCAAGACAAATTCATGGAGAAAAAAGAGCTATTGATTATCATAACTCTTCACATTGTTTGCTTGTGAACTCTTCACGGTGTTTAATAGCCTATATTAATTCTAATGTCTAGAACTGTGAAAGACTATGTTCAACCTTGATTATTAGTTCTCTTTCCCATTTTGAGATCCAAAAGCTACTCGGTAAAAAACTAATGGCCTCCCAAATCTAGTGCAAGAACATGTACACGAGATGCAATAAATAGCAATACAGTGGAGAAACAAAGGAGATTGAAAGTACTTGCTGATCATGATGTAACACTATGCTCCTACTATTCTCTAAAAAAACTTAAACTGTCTGAATTGCACCATGCATATGAGCTTTCAGGAGTATTTTGGAAAATGCAAACACTTTCCTTTGGTTCAGTTTATTTAAAAAAAAAAAAAAAAAATGGTTGTGATAGGGAATCCTTGCCAAACCAAACCTGCACAATCTACTTCACGATCCCAAGCAGAAGAAAATAATTTGGCTGAGACGCATAAATGAGGTGGAAATAGCACTTCCATGGCTTTGGGGTGATTGTTGAAGAGCATGTATGTGCATAACCTCAGTTCTTCGAAGACAGGGTAGACTGGCACCTTAGATACACCTGCGAGCTGATGCTTACTTCAGATGCTGTGAAAAGAGCTGTGGAAGGCAGAGTATGCAGGTCCTTTCACTGCATCTGATGGAGTGTGTTTAAGTTCATGGAAGCATGTGCTCTGTATCACAAGTGTGAGCCTGAGCTTTGTTTAGCCTGATGTGCCAACCTCCCCTGCTTTTTTGGCTGCAGACTAAGCTGGTGAAGGGCACCTGTCCCTGCTGAGTCAGCTCTTTCACAACCAACTTACCTTCACCAATATCTGCAGGCTCCTGGCTGTGTGGGGACAAAAAACCATGATGTCAACTGAATCAGTCCTGGCCTGGCACATCCTGGCCCATGAGACACCTGACAGCAGGCCTCAGGGCTGGAGGTGCCACAGAACAGCATGAAGTGAGAAGCAGCCAAATCCATCAGCTGGTTCACAGGTTGCAGTCACCCCACACCTTGTGCCACCCCCACCACCCCCGGGCTTGGGGCAGCCTGGCAGCACCTGCAAGGCACAGGCTATGAGTTGGGGCAAGCCAGCGCTAGGTGAGGCAGGACCAGTGCTGTAGCCACCCACTCCTGATGCCCCATTGGTCTCCTGGCCCCTCCCAGCGCCTCCCCACCCTCCCCAGCTCTGCCAGTGGGCTCTGCAGCCCTGCAGGTGCCCAACAGGTGCCAGCAGGGAAGGGCAGTGCTGTGACCATTGCAGATGTGGGACTTGCCTGCACCAGTGTGCCAGCTTTGGCTCCCTCAGCAGTCTAACAAATTCCCCAGGTTGAAAGAAGACGTTCATGGCAGAGTTCCAGTGATGAAAATGAGGTGATTAGAGCCTCCAAGAAGTTTCTGGACATGCAGAGCAAAGATTTTTTTACAAAGATGGGCCACAGCCAGGCTGCATCTGCAGTAGACCAAGCACGTTGATGTCAAAGGTGAGTACACTGGAAGGTGGTTAAACTCAAATGGCATGTCTTTATCAGGTTGCTAGAAACTTCATGAATGTCCTTCATATTGAAATTGCTGGAGGCAATCACAGAAGAAAATTGAAAAATAATCTATCGCAAAGCAGGTGTCAGATGTACTGTCTGAAAATAATAGTTTCTGTATCTATACAGTGCCTACTGAAAGGTTCTAATACAGAGGACCTTCTGAGTTAAAGACATTGAGCTCCGAGTGCTTTCTCATGCGTGGCTGTTTATGATGAGACTTTGAAAGCATAGGTTCTGCCTTCACAGGACTTGTGACTTAAAAAAAGTTCTGTTTTGGTCTGTGGTTTCACCCGTTTTCATTCCACATGCTAGTCACTGGTTGCATGTCAGCAGCTTCTGTATCTGATGTATGCTTTTATATAGATTATGAAGCATGTTACAATTTTTCAGAATATAAATGTGTATACATGTGATTGTATACAACCTTTCTACCCAGAAAGGTTGTGGAATCTTCATCCTTAGGGGTTTTTAACATGTGGGTATGACTGGGATAATATAGCGTTTGGGGGGGGGGGGGGGGGGGGCGCGCAATAGATGACCTCCTGAGGTCCCTTCCAACTCTAATTTTCTATGGTTCACTGATACTGAATTGTCCTCTGTGATGCCATGGTTCCTCTAGTCATATGCAACTTCTAAACCAAATACGCCTTTGAAGTAAAAGAAAAAAAAGACATGTATTTATGAAGATGTGGGGCATTTATATCAAATTTTCCTTTGATTATAGGATTAATCTGAGGGTTTTGATAAATATAGACTTCTTGTGTAGCTGTCCCCACTGATGAACAGGTTACTGGACTTGAATGGAAAACTTTAGAAGCAACGAAAAAGGGAGTGGTAGGTTCAGTGTGGAATAATTGTTTTCAGCTCCCTCAAAAATTTGCATTCCATTAAAGTTAGGCTTGTAAATACAGTAATATGGACAGTAATCCTCTATAGAATGGCAGGTTTTTAAGCCTACAATGGCAGGATATTTAAAGATACCCTGTAAGCATAAGAACATCTGAAAATGTAGAGAAAAGACCCGTTAAACTACTTTACTTTTGCATTTGGACCTACTTCTCATGGAGATTGTGGGCATAATAAATACACATAAGATGCTGCAGGATTTGTGAATGAAAGATGCATTACAACTGCAGAATACTATTTTCATCTGAGGAAGCAAGAGTTTGTTTACATTCTATTACAGAAATGACCAGTGTAGCATAGAGGTAGCAACAGTGGTCTGGCTCCAGCAGTCATTTCTGTGACTGTAGCATAGTTACACCAAGAGACTGGTGTGAATTTCAGACCCTAATTCTGCACCTGTAGTCTACCTGGGCTAGTACATGTTCATCTGATGGGCCCCACATGGACCAAGCACCCACATGTTTATCAAATTGCAAACTTGAGTTTTAAGCAAATTTCTTGGAAAGCAATGGGCCAAGGTATATTAGGCCTGAAATTAGGAATGCTTCTTGAACATCAAACTCAAAATTTATGACTGGCTATCAACATGGTTCAGACCATTCACTGAACTCTGATTAAGCATGTTTTCTGATTTTGTCCAATTGCCTTTATCACGTGAGAGCACAAGCTCTTTGAAATCTTAGGCTGCTTTGTAAGTGGTGAGAAACTAAAAGATCATACAGCATAGCAGAGCAGCCAACAGAATTGAGGAATTCATTGCCCGTAGCCTTCTGTTCAGTCCACTGGACCACTGCTGTAGGCTTCTTTCCTGTTGGCCTCCTTTGTCCCATCATAAATATGCTGCTTTTGTAAGTTCTCCTTCTCCATCTCAATGACTCCAAGGAGGGCATTAGGAAATTTACATCCAGTTAACTGATATGTTAAAGGCTTATAAAAGCCAGCATGTATGATTTAAAACAAAAAAGTGTATATACACTTTGAATAGGTGTACTTCTGCTGAATTCAGTATAGATGACACCCTAAATATTAGCCACACACCTAAAACAACTCAGAGGCAGACTGAAAGAAGACTATAAATTTAGAGTTTCTAGAGAAAGCTGGTTTTAAGATGTAATGAGCCAGAACACACTAAATTAAGTTATAAAACTGTCCAAAAAGGCAGAGGTCTTTAAAAACCCCTGAAATACTTCCTTTGATTTCTCCCAAGTTTCCTAATATCATTTTATTTTAACCAAGCATTACATAGGAAATTCCAGGCTGACTAATATTAATTTGAAGTTGGAAAGAGGAATCAAAACATGCATGGAAAGCCATGGTCAACTCTAGCTACTAAGTACAAACAGTCAAAAACCCAAAGCTGAATTAATTCAGTCTTTGCAGGTTAGTCTAAACTGCAAAGATTGAAGCAATCAGCAAATGAACAGACATTCACTTGTGATTCAGGAAAATGTAGCCACATGCCTGCAGTAACTCAAGCCAGAAGCCAGCGGGCACTAGAGCATGGCTCTCCAGCATGTAGCCGGCATGGGCTGTGTTTGCTTTCTCTTCCTGCTGCCCCTGAGGTCTATGGGATTTGCAGTCCACAATCACATCTGCAGCACTCTGCAGGGTTGCTCATCACTCCCTCTTCCTGCTTCCAGGTGCCCCTGGGATTTGTAGTCCACAGTCACAGCCAGCATTAGGAAAGCCAGCAGGACAGGGCAGCTCTGTAGTCAGGGGAAGGTGAGTTTAATCCCCCTCCCTGACCCCAGACCCCAGCTGGGTTTGCCTTGGGGTGGGGGGGCAGTCAGTGAGCCAGCCCCAACTGCTCCAGCTAGGGAGCAGAGGGGCGGGGCCAGCCCTGCTCTCTGGAGCAGACAGCATAGCCCAGCCCAGGACTGAAAACTTTGAACTTTGAGCTCTGATTGAACTTGAACCAGGAGGGGATCTGGGACAGAAGTGTCATAAACCAGTTTGACCTAAATCAGTTAAGTCCGATATTACATCCAACCAGGTTTATCTTAAACCAGTTTCAGCCATTTTGAAACTGGTTTATGTGTACTGAACTTCTGTTCTGTTATAGGTTTAAACCAGTTCCTGATCACTCAAACCCGTTTATGTGCAACTTTTCTCCCTAGCCTTAGATACTAATGTGTCTTCATAAAAAAACACTATAAACAGTGCAAGCATTTCTGTGCTTTAGGCAGTTGAAATGACATCACAAGTTCAACTAATACTTTCGGTGGCACATAAAAAAGCTGCCACTCTTACTAGAAATTCTGAAAGGACTCTTGGAGGAGAAAACATGCTGCCCAATGACTTGCATGTATTAACCCTTTCCCACTTAACAAATCAACATCCAATGGAATAACGTTTGCTCCCAGCTGCCTGTGTCCCACACTGTGCATCCCAGTACCAAGAGATTTTTAAAGAAGCACTGCAAGCTACACTTTAAAAACTACCCTGGGTGCCCAGACACAGACACCAGGAAGAAGTTCCCTTGTCTCCTGATGCCAGTATTCAGGGACTTCTAGAGAGCATGGCTGCAGCTAAGCTGTTGAGCCTGGAGCAGCACTCGGTCCCTTCTTTGTCCCTAGGTCTGGGGACCTCTAAACCACAGCTGCAGCTTTGCTGCAGACACACTTCCCTTTAGAAGTCCCAGTGCCTGGGAAGCTTTAAGAACTCCAGTAGTTTTTGTGCAATTGGGAACCAACTAATGTTAAGACAGATCCCAAAAACTATGCGTCTGTCATCCATGTGTGGCATGGCAGGATGTGCGTGCGATTTTTGGGAACTGGCATAACATTAGTTAGAACATAGTTGCACAAGTAAATTAACATTTGCCATGAACACATGCAGAGCTACAATAAGTTCTTTGATCATAATTCTAGTTAGTGTTACTGTTTAATACCCGTTCCATTTTATTCTCTTCTAAAGGATCCATAAAACATGTTCAAACCCAAGAGGTATGCAGGAACTAGAGAAGATCTTCATATTGTTCATTCATCAACAACAAGAGGCTTGTGGGTTGTATCTGTAAGTATCAAAATGACTTTGCATAAAATACTGATTATATCTTTTCATGTCATACACTGTCCAGAATTTTTATACCTATATCAATATTTCAAAATAGTTCTGCTCCAAAAACTGATTATGTAAAAATGGATGTCATGTTCAACAGATCTTTCTCTGTGCATTCAAGCATGTCTGTTTACTGAATCATTGAAATTTACATGACAGTAGATCAAAACCACAGTAGACCAATAATTAGCCATAATTTGTAGGAGTTCAATTATGAGGGCTGTTACTGAAACCAAGTTTAGAGAAAATATGGCTGTTAAGTTGCTTTCCCTGTCTCCTTAGTAGCTCCCAGTAAAATAACAGAAATTTCAGCAAGCCACTCTGGGCTATAGTTGTACTATTTAAAATTTGGCAAAAAGAACAAATGATTAAACATCTACATAAGATTTCCTTGAAATATTTTTTTTCCCCTTAAGACTGATCACAATGCTCATTTGCCTCAAGTCAGTCAGTCACGGTCAGTTTCTTTGTCTAGCACAACACAGAGTGCATCTACATGTGCATATTAATGCAAAGCAATATTTAATTGTAGAGGGTATGTTTACATGTGTGCCCAAGACTGCAGCACACTGAGCGAGATCTGAGCAGCCCCACCTGGTACGAGGCCCAGAGGGTCAGCCTGCCAGCCCTCGGATGCACAAACCTGGGTCAACTTGGGAGGGCCTGGCTGGGGCACAAGGGTGCTCTAGTGAAGGGGTAGCCAGCAGGCAGTGCCCCAGCAGCTGCATCAGCGTCTACACATGCACTGCTGCACACAAAAAAGCTCTGCAGCAAGGTAGTACTGCAGAGTTTATTAGCTTACTCCAGCCTAATAGACCTGCACGTGTAGATGCAGAGACTTTTACTGCAGAGCTAATGAGGCAACTGCGGTAAACATGTTGTGTAGATGTGTCCAAAACTGATTACTAGGAACTGCCATTAAAATCAAAATGGAATGAGGGGAGGATGAAAAATTAAATTGTGCTTCTCTTCTTCCTCACCTATTTAAAAGACAACTCTGCTATTATTTGGTTCTGCATGCACAAAGGCAGTCATCGCTGCCCATCCTGTGGTGCTTATTACAAGCTGGTCCATCATGAACTCCCACATTAAGAAATGCTGCATTTAATTCTATATTTATCTAAAGTATGCAACTCTTGCTTTTATCTTTGGTGTATAGTGGATTTCATTTAAAAAAGAAAAAGACAGACAAAATTATTCTATCCCAGGTAAATTAAGATTTAACTGCACCACACAGTAGAGATCTCTCACGGATTACTATTTTTCCTAAAACTGAAGATAAATTTGAAAAGCTCCTACCTTTCCAGAGGGAGGTATCCACTGTGGTCTTCTTCTGTCATGTCAACAATATAAATTCAATGAAACATTCCAATAAATACAACTGATAAGATCGTTTGCACAAATTCCATAATGACCCAAGAGAGCTCCAAGGATTCATAGAATCAACATTTGCCTCTGGCAGGCAGAATTCCCTTCACCTGGGGTGAAGGAAGGACATATCTTTGTAACATACATTCAAGAGGTATGAAATATTGCATGACACTAGTACCTGTGTAATTTAAAATAGTGCTGTGTGTTTGAATTCTTGCTTAAGAATTCAGTTGACTTACCTGTACTGTGGTAAGTACAACATATACATAGCCAGTGCTGCTGCATTTGCTATGGTCAGCTCCAGCTTTGATGCGTCTGGGGGAAAGGGTTATGTTGAAAGATGGAGAAGTTTAAAAAAAATAATTGGTATCATTGCATTTTTCCCTGTCTATGTACTGAACTACTTTATAAATATGTTTTAAAATACTAAAATATTTTTTCCACTGCAGTAGCAAACACTGATTTCTGTATTTAAGCACACATACCATTTAAAAGGTTGTTGGTTTTAAGACTTAATGTAAATCCATCAGGGAAAAATTCTTCACCTGTACTACTTGTACAATTTTAGCTCACCTGGGAATAAGGGATTAATTTGTGTTTGTCATACGATAGCACAACAGAAATATCCTTTAATATTATGCAAAATAGTCCTTCTCTATCAGAGAAAAGAAATATAGCTATAAACGGATACAGGTCTCGGTGCATAACTATTTCTAGCCAGCAGACACTAAAACTTGATTTAACTACTTCAAATAGCTCAGTCACATTTTTTCTTTTTTTTTAAATCAGAAAGGTGTTTTGTTTTGTTTTTTAAATAACTGTATAACAGTGAGAGGAGACTTCAAAGTATGAAGAGAGAAGATAAGAGTAGATAAGAGAAGGTGGTAAAAAGGACAAAAAATGGCAGCAAGGACTAGTGTCAGAACATAAGATAAAGGGAAATTTGAAAGTTGAGGAAACCTGGACAACTGACATTGGCTTGGATTTTACATGTGCAAAACAAATATCACCTTACTTCTTAGCACTGTTAAGATGTTTGTCGAAACACCTATCATGGTCAGAACCACAGAAAAGTCCATAAGGAAATGAGCATGTCTGTATTTGATGCTGTTTGGATGGTGCAGATTAAATGAGGCTGGAGACAGCACAATTAATGATTGGGGGCAATGTGGGGAAGGGGGGGGAAGTAAAATAACAACACTCTAGTCCAGAGATTGTCAACCAGGGGTACTTTGGGTATGCACGGGAGGGCGGAGACAGAGCACCACCACCCCGTGCCATCGCCTCCCAGAAGCAAGGCCAAGGTGCAACGGCAGCAGTGCCCCTCTGTGGGCCGTGGGGGAAGCTTGCATGCGGCAGCAGTGGCCACCACCCCACACTGCCGCATCTCCACGTCTGGCCATGTGCCACGCCCCCACTCCATGTCCAGCCACCGGAGGCATATTTATTAAAAAAGGTTGAAAACTCCTGCTCTAGTCCGTGAACACCCTTTGCTCATCCTACTGGGTAAAGTCAGGCATCCCGTAAAACAAAAATAGTATGCAACTGTGTCAATTAACAAGTGTCATAAAGCATACAAAGGGCCCATGCCAAGATTGCACAGGCAACTGGTTTCTTAATTCTTCCTTTTACAACTTGGACATGCCTTTAATATGGTGTTCTCATGGACGCTGGTAGACTTCAGTGAAAAATACTCCCCAAACTTGATTAGGTTCTCCCTCTCTAATAAAGTTTTAGTCTTACAATAAAATATTTTCATTTGCTTTGGATTCCTGCCTCATTACTGGAGTGTGTCATCCAGATTACATGTGTGGGGAAAAGGAAATACCACCTGTCTACAAAGTAAGTTACTAGAGGTCACAAGCTCTAATGCTGTACATACAGGATCTAATAGTGTGGTTTCTGAAACCTTAACAAGCATCTGTTTAGTCTTGTTGACAGTATTTTTAGCCTTACTAACAGTATTTTTCTGTTGGCTCAGTGTCAACTCATGATAGGGAATGGTTGATTTCCCTGTTGTTAAGGAGAAGCTTCTATATCCTGATTGCAGTTGTTCCTGAATGTATTCACTAATGTATCTTTTGATCAAATATCCATAATGAAGGCATCCATACACATGAAATCAACAAGTCTGAATTCAAGTATTTTATTTGAACTTGAATTGTTCTCATTGCATTTAAAAATCTAAAAAAAAATAAATATTTTTTTTCCACAGCTGCAAGTCGCATGTAACCACCACCACAAACATTTTGAAAACTTAACCTGGAAAGAAAAAGTCAAATCTGAAAGTTTTCAGATAAGCACAAGCATCTTGGGGCAATTATACTAAAATTCAAAGCAAAGTTTCAAAAGGGGTTTTATCTGGAAAAAAGTGAAAATTCGACTAGAAACCAGAAGCTACACTTTTCATTTTTAAAAATAAATCTTGCCTCTTAAAGGCCTGGTATCTCTCTTACTTCCAAGTTATACTGTGAACGCTTGATTGAAAGGGTTGCCAGTGCTAAATTAACCCCCCATTACAGTTTTGCCCATTTAATTATATAATCAGTCATTAGAAATAGAAAGGCCTACTCATTCATCTTGTCCATTCACATTAAAAAGAAAGCTCATATGCACATTTGTATGGATACTGACTGCCTCATGGACATTGCTGAATTGTATATTATGAGGATATTTTTTTCCCCAAACAATCAGAACTCTCAATATTAGGTTTTCAAAATAAACCAGAAAAATCTCTCTCCAGAAATCAACAGTGTAGTCACTTTTTTTTTTGTTAAAAGCCACAAAATAAGTTCGAATTTGAATTTCAAGCAATAGAAACCATACTGCTATAACAGAACTCTTTTATCACAAAATTTTATTTACAAAATTAAAAATTAGAAAATGACTTCATCATGAACAAGGAAAGATGAAGTGCTTTTGCTCAGTGACTGAAAAAAATCCAGCAAATCTTTCATGCACACACACACCAAAAATTAAATATAATGTGAAACGTTAATTCATGTTAGTGAAACTTGAGGCTCATTCACAATAGTCTCATTTTTATTGTAGGATGACAAAAGCCACATGGTTCTTTACAGGAATTTGGGTTAAGACCATTCATTTTTTAAATGATTCATTTTGGCTCCATGAATATTCATATCACGGAACATTTTGTAAATAACTATCTATTACCATCTCTGCCACCTTGTCCACTGACCTTACCATCACAAGAAAGACAAAAAAAATTAGTTTAATGATCCCACATTACATAGACCTATGAGAGCCCATTTCTGAAGTTATACTAAACTGAAGCCTTCATAGTGGTCTATAGCCTGAATCAACTTAGATTTTAAGATTTCTTTATCTGTATATTTTGGAAGATCCAGAAGATTAAAGCAAGTGTGGGCTACTGGAAGATACTCTTCTCCACCTCCAGTTGGCTGGATGACCAGTTTAAGACATTTCATTCCAAGAATAGGAATACGATCACTGCCTGTCAAAAACACTGCCAAGAAAAAAAAAAAAAAAAACACACATA